AATTTTAATTATTTCTTTCCTCCTACTAATTCAGGGTTTGTTTTGTTGTTGTTTTTCCAGGTCCTTGAGATGTACTAATAGCTCATTTATTGGTGAATTTCCAGTTTATTGATGGAGACGCTAATTGCCATAAAATTCCCTCTTAACACTGCTTTTGCTGTTTCCCATATGTTTTGATATGAGGTATTGTCATCTTCATTAGTTTCCAAACATTTTTAAATTTCTTTTATGACCCACTGTTCATTTAGGAGCATGTTGTTCAGTCTCCATGTGTTTGCATATGTTCTTGAAATTTCTGAGTTGTTGGTTTGGAGCTTCAGTTCATTATGATCTGAGAAGGCACATGATATGATTTTGATTTCTTTGCATTTGCTGAGACTTGCTTTATGTCCAGTATATGGCCTATCCTAGAGAAAGCTCTGTGCACTGCTGAGAAGAATGTTTATTCTGCCACTGTGAAAAGTTCTGTAGATATTAGTTAAGTCCATTTGGTTCACAGCGCAATTAGCTCTGTTGTTTCTTTGTTGATTTTCTATCTGGTTGATCTATCCATTGATCAAAGTGGGGTGTTGAAGTCCCCCATTACTATTGTATTTAGATAGCCAGGTGCCCTGTAATTTGGTGCACATACATTTATTATAGTCATTTCTTCCTGTTGTATTGATCCCTTAAACATTACATAGTATCCTTCCTTGTCTTTTTTTTTTTAACAGTTTTGTGTTAAAGTCTATTTGTCTGATATTAGGATGGCTACACCTGCCTTTACCTCCCCCCTCCAATAGCATGGGATATCTTATTCCATCCTTTCACTTTCTGTCTACATGTATCTCTGTTGGTGAGGTATGTTTCTTGTGAGTCAGCAAATAGATGAGTCTTGTTTTTTAATCCATTTGGCCAGTCTGTATCTTTTAACTGGAGAGTTGAGGCTATTTACACTCAAGGTAGCTATTGATAAGTAACTACTTGGCCCTGCTATTTTTCCGCGAATATTCCTATAATTTACTTTGGATTTCTTTTGTACTTTTACTTGGTGATTTTCTGTCTTTGCATTCTTTCATGATGATGGCTTTCTTTCTGTGTTTCTGTGTGTAGCACATCTTTTAGCATCTTTTGTAAGGCTGGCTGCATGGTGACAAATTTGTTCGATTTTTCTTTGTTATGGAAGGTCTATTTCACCTTCATTTATAAATGAGAGCTTTGCAGGGTACAGTATTCTAGCGTGACAGTTTTTTTCTCTTAAGAAATTTGGACTATATCTTGGCATTGTTTCTAGCTTGTCGGGTTTCTGATGAGAACCCAGGCACTCCAATGTGTGATGCAGGCATCTTAACTGCTGGGCTAAATGTCAATGGTTCAGATACCCAGCTCACATGAGAATCTAACCAAACACCAACAACGCAAAGTTATGCAACCTGAATTTCTTCTTCATTCAGCCTTTTAGGAGCCCTGTGCTCAACGTGGGTGGAGGCTGTTTCCTGGCTCTGGGCAGATGTGTGAAGGAAGTGAAGTGCAGCGCCTGGTGATGCCTTCTTCCCCTTTCCCCTTCCCCATTCAACTCCCCCAGGCACTTTGCCCCCACCCTGGGCTGATAGCCCTCCAACATTTCCCAGTCAAAATCTTCACTCAAGAAGGATCTGAAACTCATTTACATTAAAATACAAATTAGGATGGCAGCTGAAAGCTGTAACCCAAGGTAGTGCCTTTACCTTGACTTTCCCAGAAATGCTTCAAACCAACCACACCAAGGAGAGCTATCCATGTATTCAAGAAATGATCAGTACCTTCATTCCTTTGGTCAGAATGAGGTGGAGGCCTGCTCAGTAACATCAGTGCCTCCCATCAATGGAAAAACCACCTGAAGTATTTGTATACTGAAAACCAGATGTCTAACCCCAGGATGGGTTTTTCAGGTCCAGGTTGAAATCCTGGAAAATGATTTTTGCAACAATCATTGTAGGGCAGTGCAGATTAACTAAGGTAGGTATTGAGAGGCTCCTGACACCTGTGCTCTTGGAGTTGGGTACTATCTGAGTCTCTAGTCTCACCGCCTGCAGCCTCATTTGGAAGTGTGAATCTGACTTCCCCAATTCAGGCTTTCCCTTGTTATGAGTTGCAGGCATTTCAAAGGAGTCCCTTTGCACATTTTGCACACAGCCATCTTTCTATAGCATAGTTTTGAGCACACTCAAAGGAACCACACTCCCACTGACCTCACAGGCATCTTCACTAGCCAATCTTCACACAGCAGCAAGAGTTCTCTTTTTTAAAAATCTGATTACTTTGTTCCCACGTTTAAAGGGAAGTGCAAACTTTTTATCTCAGTTTTTTTAAAAACTTACTTATGTACTTGAAAGTTAGAGTTAGAGACAGAGAGAGAGGGATAGAGGAAGACACAGAGATCTTTCATCCACTGATTCACTCCCCCCGATGGCTGCATTGGCCACGCCAAAGCCAGGAGTCAGAAGCTTCATTTGGGTTTCCTATCTGGGTAGTAGGGACCCAGATACTTGGGCTGTCTTCTGCTGTCCTAATAGTGTGACAGCCTACTTAACAAGCCAGTGAAAACTGAAGAAATGGTGAGGAAAAGTTAGAAGATACTAAAAAGGTAGAAGTGAAAGACAATGGTCACCACTGGGCTGTGGGAGTACATGCACGGAGGAACTACGGATGATTCCCAAGTTTCTGAAACTAAAGTGCATGGGATAGACAGTCTGCAACAGGCTCCTGAGCTTGGAACTCAGAAGAGATTTCAGGGGTCAAAAGCAGACTTGGGGCTTGCAAGCAATAGCCGCCACTGACTTCATATTTACTGACCAGTGATGATACAACATTGCCTGAACCCATTCACTCTTCCATCCCCACAGCTCACTGTTTCACACCCTATTCCTACTCCTTAAGCCTGCACCAGCTCCTGTGCAGACTTTGGTCTTTGCAGATGAGCTCTTTCTTATTGCATGGAAAAGCAGAAGTGGTCAGGAGAGGACACGCATGAACTCACACCTATAGTCTGCCCTTTCTATCGATGAGAAACCAACCTCTCTGCTAGTTTCCTGGCTCCCATCCCATTTCCCCTTTCCAAAGACATCATCTCAACAGTTCTACTCTCCTCTTGACTCCATCATAAAAATTTCATTTTCTATTGTATCATTCCCACTATCATCCCAGCATATTAAATCTCTAATAATAAAGGCCTCCATTGACCCTAGACCCTTTTTTAGCCATCACCCCATTATTCTGTTCCCTTTACCATGAATCTTCTTGGAGTTTCTGCCTCCAACTGCCCTCTTCCAATTCTTTCTTCTTCCCACAATGGAAACTGCTTTGTCAAGGACAGCAACGACTTCACATCACTCAACCCATCACTGTGCTCAGCCTCAACTTATTCTGTTTTCTGTTGCTATAACAAAGTCCCTGTGATTGGGTACTTTCTGAAAAATAACTTTGTTTAGTTCAAGGTTCTGGAGGCTGGGAAGTCCAAGAGCATGGCACCAGCGTCTGGTGAGAGCCTTCTTGCTGCATCGTATTATGAAAGAGGGATCCCATGGACAGAGCCAGCTCTCTTACTCCTCCTGAAGCCACCAATGCCACCCTTTTTGCCTTCTCTGATCCTAATTACCTCCCCAAGACCCTGCCTCTGAATACTAAAAGCATAAATTTAGGGATTACGTTTCAACACATGAACTCTTGGGGTACACATTCAAACCACAGCAGCCCCCAGCATTCTTCCTCTATCACAAATGACACACTTTTCACTTCCTCCTAGATTCTCCAACTTCACTTGTCTTTCAGGATGCCACCTACTATCAGGCCACTCTTTCTCAGCCTCCTTTGCTGCTCTCTCACCTCTGCCCTGCTTCTCAGTGTGGGCATGCCCAATTCTCAGCGCTCAGTTTTCCTCCCTGTTCCACGTGCACCTCCTTGGTTCTTGGATCCGGCATTACCACCATATCTTAATGCCACAAAGGTTCTGATGGCTCCCAAGGTTCTATCTCCAGCTTAGACCTCTTCCTGAACTCCACATCCATACATCCCTGTTCTCTTTCAACAGCTACACTTCATGTCTAATAATCACAAAGAAATAACATAACTTACTCTTTTTTAAAAAAGATTTATTCAAAAGGCAGAACTCTAGAGAGAGAGGAGAGACAGAGGGAGAGATTTTCCATCCACTGGTTCACTCCCCAACTGGCTGCAATGGCTGGGGCTGTGCTAGGCTGACACCAGGAGCCAGGAGCCAGGAAATTTATCCAGATCTCCCACAAGGGTACAGGGGCCCATGCACTGAGGCCATCCTCTGCTGCTTTTCCCAGGTGCATTAGTAGGGAGCTGGATTGAAAGTGGAGCAGCTGGGACATGAACCAGCACCCATATATGGATGCCAGCACTGCAGGCTGCGGCTTAACCTGCTGTGTCACAGTGCCGGCCCCAATAACAGAACTTATTCTGCCCCAAATCAAACTCTGAATCTCCACCCCTCATCAGTCTCCTCGTCTCTGAAAATGGCAACCTCTGAGCTCAGTGTTGATGTCTTGCTTTCCCTTCATACCTCCAACAGGAGTTCCTATTGATCTAACCTCCAATGATGATTCACACTCATCCATTTCTCACACAGGGCAGACTTGTGCTTCAGCAAGGGCTGGAGGCTTCCATAACACCAGGAGGCAAAGTCTGACAGAGCTAAACCATTCATGATCATTTCACTGACTTTGCTGTGGACTGGCTTAGAAGCAGGCCCATGGTGCTTTGAGGACATACAGTTATACATTGCTTAACATCCGGGAGACTTTCAGAGAAAGGCATTGTCAGGTGATTGCGTCATTGTGTAAACATCAGAGTGTTCCTTCACAGACCTAAGGCATAGCCTACTACACACCTACATGGTATAGCCCATTTAAAAAATATTTATTTTTTAAACTTTTTATTAAAAATGAAAACACATTAGCCACAGCCTACACGGCATCATCAATGACTGTCTTTCTCCTCCACGTCTTGTCCCACAGGAAGATCTTCAGGGTGCTAACATGCATGGAGCTGCCATCCCCTGTGGCAACCATGCCTTCTTTTGGAAACCTCCGGCCTGAGGTTGCTCTACAGTCAGCTTCTAGAAATGGGGTCATCTTCCTGTGATTCTGAGGAACTTGCCCACATAGAGGTGAGAAATCTCAGAGGGAGCCTCCACAGGTGCACAAAGTGAGAACCGGATTTATTTCAAAGGTGAAAAGTGAATGTACGTTTATGTTTGAGAGTGGGCTGCCCCACACAGAGAAATATCCATCATGAGTAGGCCAGAGGGTTCCTTAAAGAGGGAAAGACCTCAACCTGGGTCCAAGGCAAAAAGGGCTCTCCTCTATTCTCAGCCTCTTTAACGGCTAGGGCTTAGGGCTTAATGCCTTAGCATGCGTGAGGCCACCTGGGAATTTTATGGCCCCTCCACGTGGAGTGTAATACCCACATGGTCATCATGGCATCTCTCTTTTCCGGGTCAGGATGAGAGAGAGGTGCATCCTGGGAAGGTGGGCATGTTAGACTTCTCATTCACCTAGGCCTAACTAGCAGCCTGCCTCTTCACACCATAACAGGACCATCCTACCCATGGGCAACAAATATCTATCGCTTACTCAATTAGCCATTGTATTTTATACTATTTAGAGCCAAAATATCCAATTTGCATGTTATAATACACAATGTATGTTTTTACTCACCAGTTTATCCTTAATTGCTTAAAAAAGTTAATTTTGATTGTGTGAAGACGATTGTGTATTTCAGAATAAAAATGAATAAATTAAATTAATTATCAGACATAGGAAGCAAAGGAGAAAACACAACATTATAATTCTTTCTAAAAGCAAAACAGGAAGAGAAAAGGTAACCTATCACATAGAAAAATCCCTGGTCACATGCAATGTCCACCTCCTAAAAGGCCAGTTTGGTCCCACCAAAGACACAACATGCTATGACCCCTATCAATCAGAAGGTCATTTCCTCCCATGTAATTAATTTAAATTGGAATTATCTTTTGTCTCTCGTTGCCGAGGCCCAAACTGAAAACAGTCCAGCGTGGATTCTCAATCATGAAGCGGCTGCACTGAGATCTGTGTTGGCATCTCCGAGATTTGATCACAGCACACATTTTTGTGGGAAATACGAAATGAAGTTTTACACCACCATTCTTCTGGTAAAGAAGGCAGGGGTAGGGTGCAGACGGCAGGGCTCAGCATACCCAGCAGAACTTTCTTTCTGAAGCTTATTGAGACTTCTTTCCCAGTTAATGGGATGCCTTTCCCCCACTCAGAGCGAATGCAGCTGTAGAGAAAGAAGAGCACAACATTTAGAAGCAGAGAAGCCCCTTTCCACAGCCTTAATTTGCAAGACCTAATGTGGTTTGTGGGAGCAACTTGAGGTCTTGGTTACTGATAAAAATAATACAAGCTTAGAACTTTCATAAGTTTGTGTGGCCTCTTTGTCAAGGACCAGCAATTAGAGCCTTAAAATACTGAACTTTATTACCTAAACTCTTTTCAGAATGCCCATATTCAGTATTAGCACTGGGAACCATTCTTTTCCTGTCAGTCTTTCCTTACACTCTTCTGTTCAGCTAGAAAGTTCTGTTTGTGGCTCCCAAATACGGTTCAAGTTTAGTTTATGCAGACGTGTGTTGGGAAGAAACTCCAGCCTAGGATGTAGGGAGAAAGTCTGTGCCCATCTTGCTTAGATCCCCATTGTGAGAGAAATGATCCTAAGTGACTTCCACATGCAGACTGTCACATCTCGTCTGTTTGGTCTCAAGTACAGCTTAAATTTGCATTTTGTTGATGTTCTCTCAGGTTGATCGGTGCATTGCTGTAGGGGGTGGAAGCCCCCCAGGACTCCTTTATTGCAGTTACTTTCTCCCTTTAAGTCCACTAATATTTGCTTTATTTAGATGCTTCAAAGTTGTGTACATATATTTTTATGATTATTATATCCTCTTGCTGATGGACTCTTCTATCGTTATGCCATGACATTCTTTGTCTCCTATTATGGTTTTTAGTTTAAAGTCTGATTTGTGTGATAGAAATACAGCTACTGCTGAATTTACGGCATGCAGATCATCATGTCTGATTGCCCAGCCTGGCTGATGGAATCAGGAAGTGGCAGTTACTTTTGAAGATGGCCATCCCAGCGAGTGAGGTAACCTGCGTGGTTTTTTTCTTTTTTTCTTTTTTTTTCTACGTGGCAGGTATGCCCACTGCCCTGTAGCCTCCAACAGACTCTAGCAGATCCTTCCTTTTAGGGAGGTAATCCAGAGAGAGAAAAACACAAGTGACCACAGGGTTCAGAGACCAAGAAACCCAGGGAGCAAAGGCAGAGAGTAGAAGCCATGAGCTACAAGGGCTATGCCACACACAGCAGCAGGAACACTCATCTGCTCTCATGGATACCTGCACTTGAGAGAGTCACAGTATAATGGTACTTTAATTAATTAATTTACTTACTTAAAAGAATTACAGAGTGGGGGGGAGAGAGAGAGAGAGAGAGAAAGAGAGAGAGAGAGAATCTTCCATCCACTGGTTCACTCCCCACAAGGCCACAACAACCAAAGCTGGGCCAGGCTTAACCAGGAGCCAGGAGTGTCATCCAGGTCTCCCACATGTATGTCAGGGGCCCACACATTTGGGCTATCTTCCACTGCTATTCTCAGGCCAGCAGCAGAGAGCTGGATTGGAAGTGGAGCAGCTGGCACATGAACCAGTATCCATATAGGATGCTGCCATTGCAGGCGGTGGCTGTACCCACTACACCACAATGCAGGCCCTGGTCATGGTACTTTAGAAGGAGAATTAATGCCTGTTTCTGGGGACTCAGATCTAAGTCCATGCAAATTCTCTGATGTTCTTCCTTGAATCTTTTTGTCATACATTTCCAATCAGCTGGAAATCTCATTTTATCAGACTCTAGAAATATCAAAGGGCTTAAATAACAGATCTGATAATTATTCACTAGGTGATCTTAAGTGCAACACTTAACCTCCATGAACACTGGTACATGTGACAGGCAGAATAAAGCCCCAAACACGTCCACCTTTTGATTCCTAGAATCTGAAACTGTGTCACCGTACATGGCAAAAGGTATTTGCAGATGAGATTAGGTTAGGGACCCAGAATCGGGGTTTTGTATTATCTACGTGGGCCAGTCTAATCACACGGGTTCTTACCACTAGAGAACTTTTCCAGGCTGGTGTGACTAGGAAGAACAGTCAGGGAGGCAACACTGCCAGCTCTGAAGATGGAGGAAGGGGCCGTGAGTCAAGGAATGGGAGCAGCCTCTAGAAGCTAGATAAAAAACAGGAAACATATATTCTCCCACCCAGAAAAGAGGAACACAGCCCTGCCAGCACCCTAACTTGAGAACTGTGTTGGTCTTCTAGCCTACAGAATTCTGAGAGAATCATTTCTGCTGTTTTAGCTGTGAAGTTTGTGATACTTTGTTATAGCATCAATAAGAAACTAATACAATAGGTCACACTACATACACACAGGAAAAAGTCTAAATGAATATGTAAGTATGCTATAATGTAACAATTGAGTACTCGCTTCAGCAGCACATTTACTAAAATTGGAAAAGTTGAGCATCTTTTTGAACTAATTCTTTCAGGTTTTACAAATGATTATGTTATTTGTGTGATAAAGAAATAATGAAAATACTAAAAAATATCTAATATGTAATGACCTCAAGGCTCTGCCCAGCTGTGGCAACCAATGCCCAACCTAGCCTGACTACTGTTCTATACCTTGCCTCTTCTTGCACACTATACTCAAAAGACTGCAAAGAGCAATTTCAGATCACCCCTGCTGCCTTTATTTTCCATCCCACCTCTCAGGTATACTGCTCTGTATTCATCTATACGTGGTTTCGTATGTTTCCTACTTGTGCTATATGTAGTTTTGTTTTTTTTTTTTTTTTGATGGATTACAATTGTATCTACGTATGGTATATACAGTGATGGTATCTTATTCTATTTCTGTTGCTACAACTGGATACCACGAGTGAGGAATTTAAAAGGAATAAAGTCTTGTTTATCTCATGGATCTGAAGTCCAGAAAGCTCAAGATTGGGTGGATGCATCGGGTAAGGTCCTCCTTGCTGGCGGGGACTCCTAGCAGAGTCTCAGAAGCTCAGATGCACCTCGCAGATGGGTATTGCCAGGTGAGACAGAACACTGTAACTCCGATCTTGTCTTCTCTTTTTACAGAGCCACAGTCCCACTGGATCAGGGCCACACCCTTATAGCCTCATTCAATTATCCCCCAAAGGTCCCATCTCCAAATACTCTGCTCAGATTAAGTTTCTACCCCTTAATACTTCATGGTGGAGATCACATTTCAACACAAGCATTGGTGGGAACAGTCAAACCACTGAAGACAACAGGAGCTTATACTAGAATGCTTGAATCAAGCTAATTAGCATGCCCATCAGCATAAACACTTATCAGTTACCTTCCTAACTGTGACTTTCTCTCTGAGCAACATCTCCCCATTCTCCTGACCCTCTGTGCTCTGTTAGACATCATTCTACTCTCTGCTTATGTAAGTTCAATTGTTTTAGAACCCACATATAAATGAGAACATATACTCCATGTAATCTATGCCTGGGTTATTTCACTAAACAGTGTTCTCCAGACTCACCCATGTTGTAGCAGATGAAAGAGTTTTATTCTTTCTTTAAGCTGAATAGTATTCCATTAGGTATATACACCATGTTTCTCAACTGTCCATGAATGAATACTTTGGTAGATTCCATGTCTTGGCTACTGTAAATAATGTGGCCATAAACATGGAGCTGTAGATATCTCCTTGACATACTGATTCAGTCCTCAGAATATATACCCAGGAGTAGGATTGTTGGATCTATATGCTCTTTATAAAAGATTTCGTTTTCTGGTAAATAATAAATCCAGCAAGTATTTGTTGAGTATATTTTGTGTAGCTCAGAGATCATTCAGATAATGCATATTTTGTAAAGTCTTCACTAGGCCTGGCATGGTGCTTTAGAACAGATTTCAAGATGAAATTGATAGAGTTCAAAATTTAAAAGGGCAAGTTAGAGACCTTGGGGCCAAAGCCAGGCTTTCTGATCTTTACAATGGCCCATTAGCCTCATCTAGAGACTGAAAACCTTTAAGGCCCATTGACAATCCACCCAGTGTCAACAAGGGCAGGCTATTAACTGATACTAGAGATATACATACTGGTGATAAGCACATTAGAAGTGAAGCTCATTAGAAGATACTTGTGCACCACTTAAACTTAAGAACTTGGCTTTGGTGTGTCAAAAAATGCAGCCTGTGCTCTCAATACTTGTTCCCACTTGAGCAAGAATTTCTTAGTCCTTATCACAGCCAATCATCTTCTGGACTTTGAATGACCCTAACTATTATTTGGCATTTGGACAGGACAATAGGTACTTTGCATGACTTAGTTAGAGAATAATGCAAGCCTATTTCTAAGTAGGTCACTTTGATCTATGGCAGAGCTGAATACTTTGGCCCGTCCCTAACCAAACTATACCCCAGAGGGGTGAAGGAAATAGAACAGAGCTGAAGGTGTAGGGATCTCAGTACTTTTCATTGTGTCTTTATTCCTCAAATATTTGTTGGGCACCATAGATACACTCTCAAACATTCACATGCAAAAGAAGTACCCAAGAGCATTCCACTCCCCAGACAGGCAGGACTCAGCCATTGGGGGGTGGTAAGTGGAAATCTCTGTCGAAACAGCCTCATAGTGGTTTCTGATGAGGGACCTCTGTGGACTACTTTGTAAAATGCTTAGTTTGCTCCCCAAAATGAATAAGCAACAGTTCCCTGCCCTCAGAGCGTCAAAGTCCAGGAGAAGGAGACACGCCATCATGACACTGTGTGATAAATTATACATAGAAATCCTAGTGATGGTCAGGGGGGATAGGGTAACTCACAAGGATGTAGTCTTGAAGGTCATTGCCAAAGGTTGCCAGAAATAGCAGGAAAGGAATTTTAGGCAGGGGAACAGCCTTTGTATAACTGTGAAATGCCATAAAATTTGAGGGAACAGTGAGCATTCAGTGTGATGGAATGTGAAGGGCACTATAGGCATGGACAAGGCAGGAAAGAATCTAAGCTAGCATGAATAGATTCACCAACTAAGCCATTCCAGTTTTATTTTGTAGGCAACAATATGTAGGTGCAAGTGACATGAGGAATATAAAATGTGTTAACGGAAATATCTGATATCATAGAGATATTTAATCAGTTATGATCTCCTGAGGGTCTGCTGCATTAATGCATTCAGGCTCCTATAAAAATACATTAGAATGGGCCAGCGCCGTGGCTCACTAGGCTAATCCTCTGCCTGCAGTGCCGGCACTCTGGGTTCTAGACCCAGTTGGGGCACCAGTTCTGTCCTGGTTGCCCCTCTTCCAGTCCAGCTCTCTGCTGTGGCCCAGGAGTGCAGCGGATGATGGCCCAAGTGCTTGGGCCCTGCGCCCACATGGGAGACCAGCAGGAACACCTGGCTCCTGGCTTCAGATCAGCGCAGCACGCCGGCCGTGGCGGCCATTTTGGGGGGTGAGCCAATGGAAGGAAGACCATTCTCTCTGTCTTTCTCTCTCACTGTCTAACTCTGCCTGTCAAAAAAAAAAAAAAATACATTAGATTGGGTAACATAAACAGAAATTTATTGTGCACAGTTCTAGAAGCTGGGGAGTCCAGATCATTGGTACATATGCTGTCCAGTGAAGACTTTCTTCCTCTATCATAAATGGCACCTTTTAGCTGTGTCCTTACACAGCAAAAAAGGCAAAAAAAAAAAAAAAAAAAAAACCCTCACCACTTTCTTTAAGCCTCTTCTTATTATTTTAAAATTTTTATTTATTAGCCAGTGCTGCAGCTCAATAAGCTAATCCTCTGCCATTCGGGCGCCAGATTCTGTCCCGGTTGCCCCTCTTCCAGGCCAGCTCTCTGCTGTGGCCCGGGAAGGCAGTGGAGGATGGCCCAAGTCCTTAGGCCCTGCATCCCACGGGAGACCAGGAGAAGCACCTGGCTCCTGGCTTCGGATCAGCGCGGTGCGCCGGCCGCAGCACACCAGCCGCAGCGGCCATTGCGGGGTGAACCAACGGAAAAGGAAGACCTTTCTCTCTCTCTCTCTCACTGTCCACTCCGCCTGTCAAAAAAAATTATTTATTTATTTTCATTTCATTTTAAAAATACAGAGATCTTCTATGTACCTGTTCACTCCTCAAATGTCCACGGCAGCCAGGGCTGGGTCTCCCACATGGGTGGCAGGTACTCAAGGTCATCTGCTGCCTCCAAGAGTGTGCACTAGTAGCAAACCAGCTTGGAGATGGAGCTGGGAGTCTGGTATTCTGCTATGAGATGTGTGAATCCCCCGTGGCATCTCAACCACTGTGACAATCACCCACCCCAAGGCCTCTTTCTAAAGGGCACTAATCACATTCATGAGGGCTCTACACTCACAACCTAGTTAGCACCCGAAGGACTGCCCCCCCTTTAATACTATCACACTGGGGATTAGATTTCAATATATGAGTTTTCAGAGAACCCAAACATTCCAACCATAGCACCTGCCATGTGCCTAGAAATATGTAAGTATTAGAGAGTAGAAGGAGGAAGTCACTGTTAAGAATGGTAATAATCTGTGCAAGGAAAATCTAGAAAACAAGAGAGGCAGGGGATATGCAGAGGGATTGGAATGGATCAGTAATGAGATTTCACTTATACAAACACACACATAATGTGATGACTGGCTAGATTTAAGAAGCAGAAGGGAAATGCTTGAAACATTTTGAGGCTAAGAGATGAAGTGTATGGTGATGACGTGAATGGAGAGGGCCGGAAGAGAAGTCTTGCCATGGATTGAAACTGGCTGAGCTCACCCAGAGGGGCAGCGGTGCAACAGCTGTGTGATGTCCAATGGTGGAACCTGGGCAGTGAGTCAGGCAGCTTTCTGTCACTCTTCTGAAATACCCAAGGACATCAGGTTTACCAGCAGAAAGGATTCGTTTAGCTGACAGTCTGGTGGCCCCATCTGTTTGGTTTCTGTGAGGGTGGTGGATGGCAGTGACAGAATCTGAGGCGGGAGAACTTGGGATGAACCAGGAGGCAGAAAGAGACTGTGCCCAGTTGAGACTTTTCTAACCAATCCTCTCTTCCTCACTACCCTCTATGGGCATGACCCCAGTGACCTGGGGACCTCCTAGGCCCACCTCCTAAAAACCATCATTAGGTTAAACATCTGCTCTCCTAGGACCATCACTCTATGACTTTAGGGTTTTAAGTCCTGTATGAGTTTGGAAGCCAAATCATATCCAAACCACTGCATGTTGCAATAAGCAGAGCAGGTGTGCAGCAGGGTGGAAGAGGAGGATCAAGGCTGAGGTATCCTGCAAAGAAAGAGAGAAAAGGTGTAAGAGGAAAAACGATGAAGCCTTTCAGTGCAGCACAAAGACTTCGCAGTGGCCGCCGGTTTCATTATTTCAGGTGCCAAGGCTGACATGAGCAAGGACACTTTCAGTGGAGAGCCGGGAATGGGAGCGATATCGGGAAGGAGGGAACAGGAAGTGCAGAAGTGAGGAACCAATGTAGACTACTGTTTTCAGGCCATTAGTCATGAAAAGAAAGAGAAGGAGGCAAAATAAGAGGGGTTGGTGGAACCAAGGGAATGAGTTAGGACTGCCATGAGAAAGAATGTGAACACAAAGCTTTCTTTCATATGATGGGAACAGTTATGAAAACAGAGGGATGTCAGCTGGATTTCCTCTGAAAAATCTCTACTGTCTTAGAATGAAATCATTACATAAAATCTAAGGGAATAAGCAGGTAGTATTGGGATTTTAACCTCTGGGGGTAAGAAAATACTTCTCAATTTAGAAAATTGCAATCTAGGGGCTGGCAGTGTGGCATAGCAAGTAAAGTCACCGCCTGGGACACCTGCATCCCATATGGGCAACGGTTCAAGTCCCGGCTGCTCTACTTCTGATCCAGCTCCTTGCTAATGTGCCTAGGAAAGCAGCAAAGGATGGCCCAAGTTCTTGGGCCCCTACACCCACATAGGAGACCCAGAAGAGGCTCCTGGCTTCATTGTGGCCATTTGGAGAGTAAACCAGCAGATAAGAGATACCTTCTCTCCCCACCTCCTTCTCTCACTCTCTCTCTAATTCTTTCAAATATTTTTTTAAAAGTTGTAATCTGTCAATATGGGATTATGAAGTGGAGGCTGCTAAGAATGAGAATGCAGGAAAGGGAGAGATAAGGAATCAACCACTGTGGAGGGACATAGGTAGATACAAATGACCAGAGCACTCAGCAGTCTCTCCTTGTGACTGTCAGGGGAAACACGTGTGCATCAAGAGAAAAGCCTGACCTGACTCCATCTCTTTTTTAAATGATTGTGCAAGCAAAAAGGGAACCCCAGAAAACTGCTTTATCAAATGAGTAATGAACGTTCGTGTTTGACCTCGGATCTCCACTCAGAGGTAAACCAGTTGGAAGTAAACCCACATCTTTGCATGTTTAGAAAACAAATGAGCAGGAGTCAGATAAACTGCAGAATCTAATCTCTTCAGCCTTCAAAAACAGCAGGCAGTTTTGTTTTTTACAGTCTCATGAATAAGACGTTGTTTTCAAGTTACTACTTCATGTGAAACCAGTATGACAGTTTAGACGGTCCCCTCAGAAACCGAACATACTATGATGGTTTCAGTCTCGTGGTCTGATGGTGTGCACAAGCACGTTCAAGGGCGAGGCCGCACATGTGCACATCTGCAAGGCGACAGTGGTCACAGGATTCACAGAAGTGCCTGGGCAGCGCCATGTTCGAAGACAGCCCAGGTGACAGAATCCACTGTGGCAGAGCCCAGGAGGAAACTGAAATGAGGGTTGATGGGGAGCAGGCCCTTGAACTTAACCTGCAATGTGAGACTTTTACAAGATAAAAGTAGTACTTGTAGATTTTTAAATTACAGAAAAATTATTGAGACTTTCCCAATTTGGGGGATGTCAAAGATGATTATAATTCAGTAGATGAGTAGGTGAACAGGAGTTATGGGGAAAACAGTGCTTGCTTGATGCCTGAGTAAAAGGAACACTTCCTGTAAGTCAGATCTTAATTTGCTGTCAGTTGTCTCTTAAAAAAAAAAAAAAAAAAAGAGAGAGAGAGAGAGAGAGAGAGCCTTTTGTCCTTTTGCCTTTCAGGATGTCTGTGTTCCTTCAAACAGAAGTTCTGTAAACTAGAAAATGGGTTCATCTTTGCAAAACTCATTCATCAAGCCGGTGCCACGGCTCACTAGGCTAATCCTCTGCCTGTGGTGCTGGCACCCTGGGTTCTAGTCCCGGTTGGGGCACCAGATTCTGTCCTGGTTGCTCCTCTTCCAGTCCAGCTCTCTGCTGTGGCCCAGGAGTGCAGTGGAGGATGGCCCAAGTCCTTGGGCCCTGCACCCGCGTGGGAGACCAGGAGGAAGTACAAGGCTCCTGGCTTTGGATCAGCACGGCGCGCCAGCCATAGCGGCCATTTGGGGGTGAACCAACGGAAAAGGTTCTCTGTCTCTCTATCTAACTGTCAAAAAAAAAAAAAAAAACCCTCATTCATCTTCTAATAAAACATGTTCTTCTGTAATATGCATTTCTTGAAGAATCTTCACATGTGTGGATCTCAAGAATTTTTTTCTACCAAAGCAAATTTATCTTTTAATTCTATTACCCACAAAGTTGTTTTTCTTTTCTTTTTTTTGAGAAGCACAGAGACAGAGAGACACAGTGAGAATTCCTATCTTCCAGCTCACTCTGCAAGTACTTCAACAGCTAGAAGCTGAGGGCGAAAGGCATGCACTCAGCCCATGTCTCTCCTGCAGGTGGCAGGGACTCAATTACCTGCGTCATCACCTGCAACTTCCAAGGTCTACATTAGCAGGAAACTGGAATCAGGAGTTGGACCTGGGAATCAAACCCAGGAACTCAGATGGGGACACAGACATTTTAACCTTCAGGAAAACACCCAGCCCATCACGAACCATTTGAAGTACTGTGTACATTTAAAAATGGTAGTTATTGCCCTTATTAATGAATCAAATGGCAACGCTTGAAGCCGTAATTCATAGACTTACAAAACAGAAGAGGAGGAACAGGATAGGAGATTCTGCTTGGAGCATGAGGAATCCTAACAGAGCTCACAGCAATCCTCATCCCAGGCCAGGGGAAGGTAAGGACTGGGCACACAGCTTCTGCACCAGGTGTAAAACTTGGAAAGGATCTGCAGAAGACCCGACAGGTAGTCAGTGTAAGATGAGTAAGGTTCTAGAGCAGAAAAGGGTTGAGGGAGTTGGGGAGAATTTGGCCCTTGTTAACTTTGTTAACTGGGTAGCTCTGGAGCAGGAGAGAAAGAGGATCGATCTTCCACCCGGGGCTAGAAATGGGCGACCTGTGCACCCAGGAGAGCAGGGACAAAACATCCACGTTCCCTGTCCTGCTGACGCACCTGCCCATGGAGTTACAGCAGTGGAGGAGAATTAACAACCCCAGCACTTTGCTGATGGACTGAGAGAGCAGGAGATACAGAAGACAAAGAGGCTCTGCTACGAGAGACAGAAAACGAGGTCTGTAAGTGGCAGGACAGCAGCAGAAGGAAGACTGCTTCTTCCGTGCCTGCTACACCATAATCTTTCTAGAAGGAGCTGATTCTCATTCATTTTTTTAAGATTTGCCATGACATATGTTCAATAAATGTTTTTAAGACCCTGAATGAACCAACAAGTGGGAATCGTCTTTTCCCTGCTAAGCTACAACCTGTATCTGAGGAACAGTGTCCAGGAAAGCTCAGAGGATCTGCAGGTACACAAGGCTAACTGAATGGACAAATGAACTGGATCCCACTGAGTTCTGATTTTCGCATCTGAAGATGAAAACAAGGGAGCAGGCGTCCGGCCCAATGGTTAAAATGCCAGCATCCCACATCAGAGAGCCTGGGTTCCACACCCGGCTCCAGCTTCCTATTAATGCAGACTCTGAGAGGCAGCATTTATGACTCAAGTAATTGGGTTCCTGCCACCCCCGTGGGAGTCATGGAGTGAATGCTTGGCTCCTGGCTTTGGTCCCAGATGGGGGCCATTCTGAGCATTTGGAGAAGGAACCAGCAAATGGAAGCTTTCTCTGTCTCTGTTCCTCCACTTCTCAAATAAATTTAGAAAAAAACAATTAAAAATGAAAACCACAGGACTAACTCTGATCCTGATCAGGGACGAGGCATGCATTATAATTACTAGACAACTTTGGTCTTAAAACTTGCCAAACTGACTCTTGAGTATATTATTTAAATTCCATTGTGGGCAGCTGATTCCCCATGGGTAGTACTGTCTTCAATTGTGGAAGGAAGTGAGTCAAGCGAGTGGAATCACAAATACACGCACACACCTTGTCTGTGCATTTTCAACCTTTTTATCTTCTACCTTCCTTCTGCCCTCACCCCTCATCCTCCACTTCATACAACAGTTTCTCTTTAGACCAAACATCCATGACAAATTCAGAACAGTTGCCTGGGGTTTGGCTACTGCTTAACAGGTAGTTATAAACCATTTTGTGGTGCTAACCAAGATTCCAGCTAACTGAGATGGCCTGAGGAAGCTAATTAAAGCAGTCAAGTGGAACAGCTAAATGAAGATGAAAATGTAAATACTGTCTGCGTTGGATAGAGTGATTAGAAATTATAGTTGTTTGCTTTTTGTCAGAACCATCTGTGGTTTCTCAAAATTTTGACATGCAGTATAACCTGCCACTAATCAGAAAGAAAAAAAAAAAAGGAGGGGAAAATATCTAAGATGCTAAGTAGGAAAACAGACATAGAAAACCTGTGCCTTTCCAAATGGGAAAATATGTAACTTGTTTTTCTAGAATGAATCTGATCTGTTTTTGGATAAAATCTCAGCCCCCTTGCTTGCCTTGGAAGATTCGCTCTCTGTTCTGAAAACTCAACAGTGGGAGATCCAGGCAGCTCCAAGTGGGAAAAGAAGCCATGAGCATGCAGATGGAAGAACAGAATTGAGAATAATCAAATTGTCTAACTCAAGTACTTTATATAAAAGAAACCTAAGATGAGGGTTTTTTTTTTTTTTAAGTATGAGAGGACATCAAAATGTCCCTGGAACATGCATAATGATGAAAAAAGCTAGGCATGAACTTCAAAACATTTTCCACCAAAATATACTTACCTTTTAATTCCACTTTTCCATGAATCTTTGAAAATACCTTCACAGATATACTGTGTCAGTGACTTACGGAGAGAACCTGACGGTGTTAATATTTGAATCCTATGAAATTGAAGGGCAGGCAGTTGGTTGAAATGCTGGTTAGGATGCCTGTGTCCCACATCAGAGTGTCTGGGCTCAGTTCCAGATTCTGGTTCCTGATTCTAGTTTTCTGCTGATGCAGACGCTGGGAGGCAGTGTTGATGGCTTAAGTAACTGGGTTTCTGTTTCCCACATGACACACCTGGATTGAGGTGCTGGCTTCTGGCTTCAGACCCAATCCAGCCCCAGGCTTTGCAGGCATTTGGGAAAGTGAACCAGCAGATAGGAGCTCTCTATGTCTGTCTATCCATCTCTTTCCTTCTCTGTTTGCCCTCCTCTCTCTCTCCCCGCTTACATCTCCCAAATAAATAAAAAGAAATTTGAAAAACTTGTAAATTATTTTTACATTTAAATGCATTTAAATTAGACATAAGGTTCAAACGTCTGACAATCCCCTACCTGATATAGTATAATGAGAAATGTGTAGAAGTTTTTGAAAAACAAAAACATGTACTATCCAGACTTCCTTTCTACCTCCATCAATTTATTATAAATATTGCACTATAAAATAAAAACTCAGGAATAGAACAATTCCACCTCACATCTGCAATAGTTCCTGATACATAACATGTATTCAAGAATGGTTTTATAAAGGAGAGGGAAGGGGAAGAAAAAAGAAAACAGAGCACCTTGATGAATATTTCTTTTTTTTTTTTTTTTTTTTTTGACAGGCAGAGTGGACAGTGAGAGAGAGAGAGACAGAGAGAGACAGAGAGAAAGGTTTTCCTTTACCGTTGGTTCACCCTCCAATGGCCGCTGCGGCTGGCGCACCACGCTGATCCGAAGCCAGGAGTCAGGTGCTTCTCCTGGTCTCCCATGGGGTGCAGGGCCCGAGCACTTGGGCCATCCTCCACTGCACTCCCGGGCCACAGCAGAGAGCTGGACTGGAAGAGGGGCAACCGGGACAGAATCCGGTGCCCCGACCAGGACTAGAACCTGGTGTGCCGGCGCCGCTAGGCGGAGGATTAGCCTAGTGAGCTGCGGTGCCGGCTGATGAATATTTCTAACTGCATTTATGAATGAACTATCTGCATGATGATTAATAAAAATGTTCTTGTGATTGATGACTTCATAAGACCCAACCATACAAAGTATTGAGTGTTTATTTCTTTATTTAGCTGTGTCATCCTTTTATAGGTAGAATATTTTTAGCGATATTCATACTAGTTCAAACATTTTCAAATACATGACCTGGAAGCAGATATTTGGCCTACCAGCTAAGATGCCCATGTACCACATCGCAGTCCCTGAGGTCAACACTGATGTTAGCTCCTGACTCCTGAGAGGCAGCAGGTGATGGATGACTCCAGTAGTTAGATTCCTGCCAGTCGTGCTATAGCCCTGCCACTCAGCTGGACTGAGTCGCCAGCTCCCAGTTTCAGTTTGGCCCAGTCCTGGCTTTTATATGGATTTGAGTAATGAACCAGCACACAGGAACTCTCTATGTCTATCTATCCATCTCTTTCTACCTCCCAATGAATTTTCAAAACTTATGAAGTATATGACATGCAATGAATTTCAGAGAATCCTTATAGGAAATTAAAACAACATCATCAATGAAACAGAAGTCACAGGAGAGCAACATACAGCATGAGCCTAGTTTGATATGGTGAGACCAAGGGGCAGCCCTTTCCTTGCCTTGGTGATGAAACAGGCACACTGGGTCATTTTGGAAACAAACATCTGTTGTTCAGACTATCTCTCTTTCCTCTCAACTCTCTATACTCCACATCATTTCCTGGGCATCAGCAAGGACTGGAAAATAAGAAAGGGAAAGAATAAAGCGGAGATCTCAGCTGACAACAACTAATTTACCACTAATAACTCTAACCTACACTGTCATCCACATAGTGCTTATTTTATTTGTGCCAGACACTCTTTGCATGTTTTACACGTCCTCACTCATTTAAATCTCATGATACTTTTACTGGTGTTCCCATTTTACAGAAAGGAAACTGAGGCAAGAGCAGTTAAGGGGGAGACTGTAATTCAAACCTGGGTGTTTGCTGTCAGAGTCTGCCCACCTGTCTGCTACTCAAAAGCACAGATAGAAGACGACCAATGGATTGGGGCCAGGTGGCTTTCAAACTCTCTTCCATGTACACAAATCCAGGCTTCCATGCACCCTGCAAATAGGAGTTTCCTCACTTGGGTGCCTTGCCCCTAGCATTGGCCTGTGCAGTGCACATACTTGTCATATGAAAGAATGCTTCATGTCAATTTATAGTGGATTCTTTGGAACATACCAAGTCCATAAAAGCAGAAAATCCCAAATTGGTTGATTTTGAAACAGCCTAATTTTGCCTCAATGCAGCCCAGCCACTTAGAAAAATACGTCCCAGTAGAATTTGATTGCAATACTAATTTGAAGATCATCAATCTTTCTATACTCATATACACAGCTAATGGGCCAGATACGAATGAAATTTCTTACCTGTCCCTAAACTGCAACACGCCCTCAGTGTACTGCAAGGGCTCATTTGAAAAAAAAAAAAATCAGCCCCAGAGAGGAAATGAGCTGCCACAACATCGCTTCACAGCAACCGGAAGGAAAAACACACACAGGCGTACGCCACTCACATCCTACGTATGCGGTTGCTCAGTGGGGAAATGCTTACAGACAGCTGCCTTGAGAAGCCAACCGGGGTGCTGCAGCGAGAGAAGTAGAATCGTGCAGCAGGACTGGCTCTCCTCTTCTGCCAGCCCATAGAGAAGACAAGAGCACCAGGGAGCAGAGAGAGAATCCGCCACCCAGACTTCTGCCCTTGGGTGAGTTCTCAGCCACTTGCTGTGGCCTGGGGTGGGAGTGCAGGGAGCTCACCCCGACTCTGACTTCCTGAGTTGGTGTCAGACAGCTGGGGGTGTTCCCCACTGTTAACACCTCTGAGCTGGGGATGAGAGGGCTTCAACAATTCCAGTAGATGAATCATTGACTCCAGGTCTCCTTCAAATTGACCTGGACGAGCTGGTTTTAATGCTACTTCAAACCCGCAAGATTTCTACTTTGCAAATCATCCTGGGTTGGTGCTTCCTGGTGTGTGAATGCCTGGCCCCTCCCCGCTTCCTGCTGACCTAGGAGAGTCTACCTGTGTAGAACCAAGCTTCTACGTGTTCTACATTATTCCAGTGCTCAAGGTTTTCACTTACACTTTATAGTGCATTAGAATCATTTACATCACTTTTAGCCTTTCTGGGGAGCAAGAAATGGTGACCGAGAATTGGGTTCTGTGCCTGTGGCCCTGTCCTGTAGAGAAATGGTTATCAGCACCACCTTTACGGGACCAGAGACATACTGTACTATGGTTCTCACTGGCTACCTGATAGCTCCACCCCTACTTTTCTCTGCCTTTATTCATTTCACTCATTCAGTCATTCATTCAACTGGCTTTCTTCCTCAAAAAATTTGTGACAATTTTTTTTTTATGATGAAATGGCTTCAAAACAAAGACCTAGTACAAACCTAGGTGGAGGTAGTGAGCAATCTTCTCCCTGTGTTATCAGTGACAGCTGAGAATGGGGGCCCTAGCCTGTTTAGCCCCTGCTTGGGGAATGCCCTTCTTTGCCACCCAGAATTGGGTGTGAAAAGAAATTGTCCAAAATTCTTGGAACCTGTCAAATGGGTTTCTCCCTGGTGTCATTTCCTTCCAAGCTTATTATTTTCAAGGTCATTCTCACTGTAAGAAAGGGGCAAAGTGGAGTAATGGAACGTGAAGGATATGTAGTCAGTCTTGAATTAGAGCTCCACTTTGTGTTAACGACTTCGTTTGTTTAACAACGATCTAGAGAATTCTCATCCTGTGAAAATACTTTGTAAGTCAACACCTATGGAAGAGAGACCAAAACTGATGCTGCTGTGTTCCTAATATAAGCTACAGTCCAAAGGAGCAACAGGCATTAACCAATAATCTAGAGGAGGAAAAACTGCCTCAGTTTGTCTTTGTGGGTTCACTGATTGGATGGTCTGTGAATTAAGCTGACATAAGATAGACTAACAAGAGAAAAAACTTAAATTACATTTGTATGAATGGGGGTTCCACAAAAATATGAAACACAGAGAAGTGTTTGTGTTTGATGACTGAGGCTTCTGTATCAACCTGAGCTACAAAAAGGACTGGAGGTATGGGGGCTTCTGGAGGTGGGTAGGGGTTCGGGCAGAGAAGGTGAAGGGAAAAGCCTCAATTAGACAAATTGGCCAGGAAAAGCCAAGCAATGCAGGGGAAAGGTATGAGATTTAAGTAGGTGCCTTCCTCATTAATAAGAGTCTGTAGTGATTTAGTCATCCACGTCTTCCTGATGCATGGAGAGAGACACCCCAACAAATGGAAATTTCCTTTGCAGATATAAATTTGTCTTACCTAAGGGCAGCTTTCGGAGCTTCTGACTCTACAGTTTCTCAAACAAAGCTCAAAATAATCAAAATGCTGCAGAGGCATGTTTTAGGGTAGCATATTCTTGGTCTCCAACAACTGTATTTAGTGTTACCGTGTCCTAAACCCCATTGGTCACTGCACAAATATGATGAGAACCAGAACACATGGCAGGGGGGTCTGAATTTGCCTGGGACTCAAGGAATTTACATAAAGGAGAAGGAGATGAGAACTCAGAGAGATGAAGAGATTCACAAGGCAAAGGATCGGCTGGTACTCTGTGCGGAGTCGACAGAACAGTGTGACAAAATGAGGTCCCTGTAGCCAGAGAAAAGAGGAGGGCGGCAAAGTAAACTGAGAGAAGTAAAATGTGCAGATGGTCTTAAAGCTGGTGTTGATTCTTACAGGGCTGGAACAGCCTGGCGTGTGAGGGTCTGACTTGTGCGTTGAAGGGAACCCCTTTTGCGATGGTGTGCAGAATGGACCAGGGAGATAAGAAAGTTGATGCTGTCAGCTAAACAAGCATGTGAAAGTGGTGACAGGAGAGACACATGTGGATGAATCAGAGTCATCTAGAAAGATGGTGGCGGACAGGAAAGGAGAGTGGGAGAGAGGTCAAAGATAGTCCACAGCTCCTGGATGAGAAGTCCAAACGGATGGTGGTGCTAACTGCTCGTCACAGAGACTGGCAAAGCTGAGGGAAACCGAGTCTCAGTGGGTTCAGTTCTGGAAATGACTGCGGAGGGTCTGGTAGACATCCAAGGGCAGATGTCAACCAGGCGCCTGACGTGCTGATCCGGAGCTCAGAACACAGGTCTGGGCATGCTTGGTGCAGAGAAGGCGGTGGAAGCCAGGGGCACCAGAAGATAAGGCTTTGAGACATAGTAGCAAATGGGAAAAGAGGGGTACTTACGGTGGAATCTCGAAAATACCAACATTTAAATAGAGGTAAAGGAAAATGAACTCTTCAAGACGAGGATCTTTTTTCAAAAAGTTAAATACAGAATTACCTCATAACCCAGCAATTCTGGCCACAGCTATAAACCTTAAAGAATTGAAAACAGGGACTGAATTAGCACTTGCATACCTATTTTCATTACAACACTATTCACAATTGCAAAAAAAAATGGAAACAGCTTAACTGTCAACTAATAGATGAATAAACAAGCTTTAGAAGATACTACAATGGAATATCAATTATCCATCACAAAGAATGAAGCACTGACACATACTATTATGTGGGTGAACCCTGAAAGCATTATGATAAGTGAAAGAAGCCAATCACAAAAAGTCAAACATGGAATCTTCAAAAGTTAATAGAAAACGCATATTATGAAAAAACTTATGTGAATTTTAACAAATTTTGCATCAAAATAAATTTACCTTTTAATTCAATTTACCATGAATTTTTTGATGTTCTTTCAAATGATCCCATTGGTATAAAATGTCCCATAGTCAGCCAGCATTGTGGCATGGCAGGTTAAGCCACCACTTGCAATGCCAGAATTCCATATGTGCACCAGTTCGAGTCCTGGCTGCTGTACTTCGATTCAGCTCCTTGTTTATGTGCCTAGGCAAACAGCAGAGGATGGCCCAAGTCCTTGGGCCCCTGAATGCAAGAGGGAGACCCAGAAGAAGCTCCTGGCTTTGGTCTGGCCCAGCCCTAGCTGTTGTGGCCACTTGGGGAGTGAAACAGCAGATGGAAAATCTCTTTCTAACTCTGCCTTTCAAATAAATAAAAATAAATCTTTTAAAAAAAAAGTACCATAGAGGTAAATCAATAGACCCAGGAGGCAGCCTCATGGTCCCTACACCAAAGGCTTGGGGGCAGAAAACAGAGGGCAATGGCTTCATGGGCACAGGATTGTCCCCTTTGGGGGAGAACAAAATGTTTCAGAACTGAATAGAGGTGGTGGTTACAGATTGGGGGCATATTGGAGGTCACTGAACTGTTCTCTTCAAATGGTTCATTTTATGGTATGTTAATTTACTTCACTGTCACAAAAAAAGGAAGATGGGGGGGGGGGGGCTGGCCAGAGGTGCAGGAGCACAGGCTGCCTGTCTCTATGCACCTCCTGGTGGTTCTTTCTCCACTGGTAAGGAGAAGCAGCTCCCTTGAAGGGCCCTGCTAAGGGTTGAAATTGGTAACTGACATGTGAGGCATCCAGGAGAGAGGGGTACCTGGCCCTGCCTGCATGCCCAGGCCTCCCTGGACTGTGCTGCATCTAGGGGTTGGGGTGTCTGGAGACAACAGCTCCCCTGCATCAGGCCCCACCATGATACACTGCATCTGGATTTCACAATCTTAGGGCTTCCCTCAGACCAAGTAAGGCCGACCACCTTGCCGAAAAGATAGGTGAAAAGGCCCAAGAATGAACTCCCCACCGGGCTGTAGACAACCCAGCTCCTTCCATCCTGAGTGCAGTAACTCTTGTAGCCTCTCTGTCACCTTTTCCCGAAGTTTCCACGTAGGGTTCATGGTCAGCTGCCCGCAATGGTAGCGCACAATATGGCTTTCTCCCCTTCCCTTTTCACTCCCTCATTCCCTACTCGTGTGTCCTGGGATCATTTCTTAAACTACATGCCCTTGGCCCCTGCAGGTGGTGTGTCTCTGTGGGAATCCAACCTAAGACAATCTACTATAGGTGCTCAAATAGTTTGATCCTGTTCTCTAACGATCAAGTCCCTTGACCTCATCCAGCTGTGTTTTGATACCCCTCATACCTATTCAAAGGCTGTCATTGGGGGCGGGGGGGGGGGGGACTCCTTCTCATCCCCTCCTAACACCCAGAGCACAGGCACTGTCTCCAGGAAAGCTCCTTGATGTCTGCCTTATCTCCACTCAGAACTGTACTGTGTAAAGACACATCCTACCACAGGACACCTCCACCTTCCCCAGCTTGTCTGTCTCCCTACAGCCCATTTGATCAACATTTCTGAATTTCGGAACATGGATAGGATCATTTCATGCAGTACAGGATGCACACACATGGCATTAAAAAACATGGAATCCCAGAGAGAGAAAATTTTCCCTTTTTGTTCATTTGGTCCTCTGATTTTGACCTGAACTTAAACCTCTCTGGCTTCCTATGTCTCAGTGTATATATGTACATATTAAGAAACTTCAAGAAATTTCCCAGAAAATGGAGTTAAAACATAAGTTTACTTTTGTGCCATGAGATTTTGAAACTGATGCATAATTTTTTTCATAATATACATTTTTCCATGGACTTTTGGAAGACTCTTCATAGAAGTGTGTGTGTTTATATAATCTATATCTAGTTTATGTTTCCTGTTTGGGAACAGTAATAAGTGATCATACTACTATGTATGTCCATATATCTATGTTGATATAAAGATGTGTCAATGCTATATTCCCAGTGTCAAGCATTCTATTGCATGAGCATATGACAATCTCTTTATCATTTCTGTCAACTGACAGTGCTATGTCATTGTCAAAGATGAAGGTTCAGTATTACGATCTCAGGAAGGCACAATGACCCTCAAATGTTTCTCTCTCTCATACCTAAAGTACTGTCAGCAGAGGCCTTCAGCTTGGCCTCAAGTTAGCAGCAGGTTTCAACTGGGGATAAGAGACAAATGAATTTGAGATCTGACAGCCAGAGAGGAGGAGACATCAGAGAAAGTACAGTCCTGTACAAGGATTCCTTGAGCTATCAATGGTCCTTAGATAAAAAACAGAGAGAGAAACCCCCACTGGACAATTGTGCCTGCCAGCCCAGGCCGATGGTGGGCAAACTGTGTCTTCCACTCTCAACGTCCGCTTCCCCTACCACATGAAGCCTTGGTGGAAGGATTCATATGAATACTTCATGTACAAAATCACCCTTCCCCAGGTAAGCAGTGGGGCTCCATGTTAACCACTTGGACCCATCCAGAAGAGATTCAGAGTCACAGGTGAGCCTCCCATGGATACATTTTCGAGGCTACCTTCTCCTTACCATGTATGAGACTGCTCAACTACCACACCGTCACCCAATGCTGATGTCTGTGAACCTTCAGTAACCTCTGCACAAGTTTCCATGACTCTGAAATCCCCCACCCACAGCTTCATTGTAAAGAGTGGAAAAGTTTGGAGGAAGTGAGACTGTCTGTGACTCCGCCTCACCATGCTGAGTGGGGACATCACGTCACCCTTTAGGGCGTGGCTTTGGCAAGTGCAGCGTTCTCTCAGTACCTGTTTCTTATACAAGTGCTTTGCATCATAGAAGAAATGACACAGTGAGAGGGTGTTGCTCTCAGTCCCTCCTCAGAGTGGAGAAATTGAGGCCAAGAGCTTACCTATGGGTTGAATTGATATCTGGCTTTGGTTACTCCAGGGACCTTGCTATGTGAAAAGGATTCCTGGTAAATGACATATATGCATTGATTCGTTGAGTAAATGGGTGAGAAATACAGTATAATCAGGGTTCTCCAGACAAAAAAAACAAATGGGATGTCTGTCTATCATCTATATGTATTTATCTTCTATAGCTATCTATCATCTATCTTTCTATCATGCACAAGAGAGAATTGGCTCACACATTATGGAGGTCGGCAAGTTCAAAATATGAAGGCAAGCAACCTGGAGACTCTGGATAGATTTATGTTGCATACCAAGTCCAAAGTCCATCTGGCTGGATTCCTTCTTGCTTGGGAGAAAACAGTTGTTTTTCTACTAAGGTTTTCAGCTGACTAGATGAGGCCTACTCATATTATGAGGGATATCTGCTTGACAGGAGTAAGTGCACAGTGACTCCTGTTGTTGACTTTACAAATTGACACTCCTGTTTATGGCATCAGTAATCTCCCTATGCTCCAGTCATGAGTTTCCAAGGCTATGGAAGCCTTTTGAGTTCACTGACTCTTATCTTATTTAGACAAGGTCATAGTCAAAGTGGAGGTTCTCTCCTCCCTTCAGAGAAAGGTACCTCCTTCTTTGAAGACCTGTTTAAGTTGTTTATTTTGTCAGCCTTTGTGTGTTTTTGTTTTTATATGAAGTAAGGACAGTCATTCAGAAATAAAGGTATTAGCTCATGTTGTTGTATAAAATGAATGGGAGAGTCTGTGCTGACCTGTTGTTTAATGCTGTACCTGGCTGTGGGCAAAACAATATCATATATGTCATTTGCACCTTAAGAACAGCACTCTTTTATTACAATATTTGAGTGTCACAAGCAAGAGATAGTTATCCAAAGTTTTCACAAATCGCTAGAGAGGTCACAGGGGTCCATACTACACATTAGTTTACTTCAAAGGGCAGAATTGTACTAAAGAAAACATCTGTGGAATTTATCACCTGTTACCTGTGTCGTATAGCACCCTATTCTTCAGAATGTCACATTTGAGTTGGGGACAGTATGTGCTTGTAAATCAGAAATCACATTTTAAAAAACAGCTAAATATATTTCTAACTGAAAGAAGCCAGCCTGAAAGCTCTACCTATTGTATGGTTTCAACTCTGTGACGTTCCGGAAAAGGCAAAACCACGGCAACAGTAGACAGATCAGTGGTTGGCAATGGCTCAGGTAGGGAGGGGAGGATGAAGAGGTGGAACACAGAGGATTTTGAGGGCTCTGAGGCTATTCTGTGTGACACTCTAACAGTAGATACATATCTTCATGCATCTGTCCAAATCCAGAGAATGCATAACACTGAGAGCAAGCCCAGTGTAAACCATGGTCGTTGGGTGACAGTGGTTTGTTGGTACAGGTTCACCAGTTGCAACCAATGTGGCAGTCTGGTGGGAGAGGTGGTGGGCAGGGAGGTTGTGCTGTGATAGGGGAGGGGTCTCTGCAACTTCCTCTGAATTTTGTTGTGATCCTAAAAACATCCAAAAAATTAAGTCTAAAAAAAAAAAAAAAGTAAGCTTAATGGCCTCTTTGATGTTCCCCTAATGGCCAAGAATGTACTTAACCAGGACTCTGCCCTTCTGCCTGGAAGGACCTTCCTGGAGACACCTGCAAGCATCCCTCTCTTTCTCCATTCAGCTTTGAGGCCCCAGTTCACCTTCCTATCACTACCCTCCCTCATCATGCTATGGGAAACGCCTGCCTCCCCACCCTGCACACATCCCCCGATCTGTGCTTCTCACCACCTGACACAGAAAGTCCCAGCATTGTTCGCTTTTAGTCCGTTGAGTTTCATGGTTGCAAGACTTTGTGTTGCAACACTCTGTGTTGGTACTTCCGAAAATTTCTGGAAAATGAAATTCAAAGATAAATGCATGTAT